AGCCTTGCATCATCCGGCCCAACGATTTCAGCCTTTGATTTCCGGGTCAGGGATTCTCATCCTGTAGTCTTTGCTAATATTCCCAGCTTTGAAGAACTCTGGCATCTGAAACACCTGTGGTCCCACATGGTCCACAGAAAAGGTGCTCGGCCCAGATTATTATTCTGGGCACTGCTGGGCTGGTGTCCCCTAAAAAATATTAACTGTCACCTTGTGCTGTGTTAGCATTCACCAGCTGTCTACGCTGAGCTTTTTATTCTTTATTTCCACGGTAGCGGACCTTTTAAAACTTTCAATAAATACAAACAGGCCACTGTGCCACACCTGCATAGGTTCACAACCACTGCTTTATTTTGAGACAGGGTCCAAATTGCCGAGGCTGGGTTTGAACTTGTGATCCTCCTGTCTCAGCCTTCTAGAGTGCTGGGATTATAGTCAGGCACCATCACACCCTGCTAATAAGCCCATGAATTACTGAGGCCTGTGATACTGGCTTGTCTGATCTCTGACTTCTGTAATCTGTGCTTCAGGTCACAACAAGGGACAAAGACAAAGCTTCCATCTCCTTTTCTTTCTTTTTTTTACCTTTTTTTTTTTTTTTTTTTCTTTTTGGCAGAACCAGGGATTGAAATCAGACCCTTGCTCTTGCCAGGCAAGCGCTTATTCTACTGAGCCATCTCCCTGGCCCCATCTCCTTTTCTTAATCAGAACATCAGTTGTTGCAGAAGTAGCCACCAGGAGCCACTTGTCTAGTGGGGAGCACACTATTTCCTATCGTATTAACGCCAGGGGATCCCACTTCGCGGCTGGGTGCGGTACCACTTCCTCTTCATGGATGACCTTTGCAACCAGCTGTGTGGGCTGAACACAGATTGTCAAGCTTGTTTCCATTTATGGTCATTTAGTGTCCTGGGGTCAATCCCTGGTTCCACGAAAACAAAAATCAAAATGAACAAAAAGCCTGAGCTTATGGTGAGGACCACAAAGTACAACTAGCATTTTTCTAAAACTCAAAACGTTACAGTCCAAAAGATTCTCCTGTATTTCATAGTTATTAAAAGAATAAAAAAGACATCAGTAGTCTTCACACAAAGCAGTGCCCCCTACTCGTTTCTCTTTGATGGTTTCAGGACTTCCAGGCGTGGGAACACAGGGCCCTGGGACTCAGGGGAGCTCCTGGCTGTGGCTGTGGCTCTCGCTGGCTGCGTGGCATCAACTCTTTGGGTCCCACGTTTCTTCTCTGCAACATGGAGCCAGGCAATACTCGAGCAGGGGCTTGAGGGTTGAAGAGTCCGTTTATATAGAGCGCCTAGAATTGTGTCATTGTTCTCAGTGTGAAACATCTGGGGTTGTTGGCCTGGAAAGGAAAGAACCAGAGATGCTGAAAAACCACCTAGAGTAGCAGTCTGCAGGACATGTGGTCCCGCCATGTCCTTGTCTTTTCTGAGATGCTCTGAGAGTGCCTCAGTGGAGGGGTCACAGGGCCCCCTTTTCATTTCAGAACTTCTGGCACTGTTGCCTGATCATGCCTGTCTTCCTGCTGTTCAATGGGCTGATAGCAGAGGTGAGGAGTTTTGCAAGAGCTTTTTCCTGAGGTCACCAAAATGTAAGGAGATAGTGGCCTTGGGTCTCTGAGGTGCCCTGAGGACAAGGTTTAGGGGTGCCTGTGGGGTAAAGGTGCAGGGTGATGGCAGAGGTAGTGAGGTGTTAGTGTTCACCAGCTCTCCACACTGAGATTTTTATTATTTCCACGGTGGCAAACGAGTCACCAGTGCTCTGTGCCTGCGTCCGAAATGTCATGGCTCCTCCCGGGGAACACATTCAGAACATGGCGGCATTCTTGTGCTGGGAGTATGGAGCGGGTGACCTGTGTGTGCCGCATGTGGCCTGGGGATGCCTGCTCAGGCTGAGGGAGGTGGTGCCGATCGATTTGAGCCCTACAAGGTTACTGGCAAATTCCAGCTGTTGTTCCCAGGGTGGCCACACGCAGGTCTGCTGTCTCCATCCAAGCCAGCAGGGTTCTGTCACCACGTGTCTCAGCTAAATGGTACCTCAGGTCAGTGGGGGAGGCAGGTAACTAGAAGGAGCAGACAGGAGGCCTTACTGGGGTTCCCCTGTGCCAGCTCCAGCGATCACATTCCCGTCTTAGGTATTGAGACGCTGGGCCTCTCCTGGGGTGGCTGAGCCTAAGTTTCAACCCTCCTGACAGGAGCAGAGCCCTTTCCCACCCAGGACAGACTTCAGGCAGAGCCAGCACTGGCCACCTGGATGGGGTGCCCAGAGGATGCCTCCTAACCTGCTAGGAGTGAGCTGGCTCTTCCTCACCAGGGAAGAGTTCAGAGCCTTCAGAGGCCGCCTGTATAAACACCAGGCCCAAAGGAGCCAGATGAACATCCCAGGCAGGTCCTCAGTTGCTCTCTATAACTCTGATCCATGTGGTTCGTGGAAGCTTAACCCCCATCATCAAGCTGGACCGCTTTTCATGCAAGTGTACATCCAGGTAGCTACCACCCAGATCTAGAATAGAACATCTCCATGTCCCCGAGAGTGTCCCTGTGTCCCTCCAAGGATGACTGCCACACTGGCTCCTGGCGCCTGAGTCAGTGCTGCTTCCTTTGGCATCCAGGCGAGCAGAGTGCGGCTGCAGGAGGTGCTCGCACCTGATTCCTCTCACACAGTTGTGTGTGAGCTCCAGAGCCAAGTGAGCGCCCTTGGATGGAGGGAATGCAGCCCACTCACACTCTGAATTCCGTCATAGTGTGTGGTGTAAGAATGTCCCCAGTACACAGCTATCCACCAGACAGGGCACTTTTCTCATTGGGAGTTGTTAGAATACCACTGCCACCAGCATTCCTGGACACTCCTCAGTAATGAACAAGTGTTTCCTCTCCCCGTGGTGATGCCATTCTAACACAGTAAGGGCCCCCAGTCATCACAAACAGAGCATCCAGAATCCCCGGATGAGAGAAATCAAATAGCGAGGGTTTCCAAAGCCCCGCGGACTTTAGGATGAAGAGGTCATATGCCTTGAAAAGCAATCAGAATGTTTGTTTCAAATAACTGTATGGCCTCAAGAAAACCATTCAACATCTCTGGACCTCAGGTTCTGCATCTGTAATGTGGGCATGGTGTAAGTGTTGTGCAAGAGTGGCGGAGTTGCTGAGAAGATTAAATGCCAATATTTAGGTAAAGCTTAGCCCCTCTGAGTACTCATTCCCTGTTAGGATTGCTGGCGTTGTGATAGTGGTCATATACAGTAAAGTCAAAGATGCCATGGCCTGTACAGGTTTATTAGCACAAAACAACCAGTGCAAACCAGAGAATCTGCTTTAGCACCAGAGGCAAAGTGAATATGTTATTCTTGTTGCCTTCTTACTTTATAGCCTGTCTTCCTTCCAGCCTGATTTCTAGGGTTCTGTAAAGCTCTAAATTTCCACAAAGAGATCTCCTGGATAAGACATGGAAGTGGGAACAAAGGAAAAGTTGGGCTGGAAATCTGATGATTGTGGGAGCAACATTAACTTTTGGCCTCAGTTTTAACTTCAGGTGACAGGAAAATTGTTTTCCATGTTATGTTTGTACATTTGGCTAATTTGCTCTCTGTCCCTAGACTTCTAATAATAGATAGCAATTCAGATTTGCTACAGTCTGATCCAGTGTTAGGGATTTCACAGGTCAGAGAGAGGAGCTGACTTTTTCCAATCTTACACCTAAGTGCATCTGCGGGGTTTGGAGGTCAAATCACATTAAGGTGTCACATATTAGGTATAGTCACTGCTGTGGCCTCAGGTGATTTGATGACCATGTGCAAAAGCAGAAAACTTCTCATTGAGTAAGTAATTTTCTGCTTAGGTCTCCAGATTTATGTCACTGGCCAAGGAAGATGATCTGTTAGGTAACCATTTGAAAAAGAGGGAAACAATAAGGCCAGCTTTGCCCAAAGGTGTTTCCTAACTCTGAGCAGAAACACACTTAATTTCTTTTGAACTTTTAATTTGGAAATCATGTCAGACTTACAGGAAAGTTGCACAAGGAATACAAAGAAATGTCTAGCCTCCACCCAGAATTGCTGACACACGGGCTTTATCCTCCAGCTTTCACACACACACACACACACACACACACACACACACACACACACCATGCATGCGTGCACCCCCGCATACACATCTGCACACACTGGTACATATATGCACTCATGCATATATACCCTCCTTTTCTCTGAATCACTCAAGAATAAGCTGCAGATGCTTCTTTTCACCTAAATACTTCACTGCAGATTCTCTAAAAGCCAGACCTTCTATTGGGTAAGAGCAGTTATTAAACCCAGAAAACTAATGTTGAAGCTGCGGTCTCACTGTGACCTAACCTGCAGACTTCATTCATGTTTCCTCAGATGCCTTACTGATCTCTTTTATAGCAAGTGAAATATGGTGGCGCCTCAGTCCACAGCCTTGATTCTTTCTGTGATTCTGGCCACAGCCAGATTGGTTGTGACCCGAATCACATTCCACAGTTAGCTTCAATGCTGACCTAGGGGGGAAATCTGGTACAGTTCACAACCAATTTGGTTTGCAACCAGAATGTGGAAAGAATCAAGTTCGTGAACCAAGGAATCACTGTAAAGGATTGTTGGGTCCAGAATCCAATCCAAGGTCATATATTTAAGTGAATTTATTTTCTCAAAATATTTCTATAGGCTCCTGAGCCTTTATTTTTAGAAAGTTCTTCCTTTAAAGTAGCAACTGGCTCTACTGGTGGCAGCAGAGGAGAGTGGATGAGCCAGGCTGAAAGAACGTCCTCTAAAAATCCTTGCCTGTGTTTACAAGAGGGTGTAAAGCAACCCAAACAGATACATTTCATCGTATGATTGGTGCATGTTGGATATGATTAGGGCAAAGCCACCTTCCTGGTTTGTGGGACACGTCACCAGCACGTGATGCAGGGTTGGTCTTTCCCTCTTCAGATAGAGGTCACAGTGGCTGCTCTTTCTTTGGCAGACGTGGTGCTGGAGAAGGCCATGCACAAGTGCATCCTGAAGCCACTCAAGGGACATGTGGAGGCCATGCTGAGGGACTTCCACGTGGCCGATGGCTCATGGAAGCAGCTCAAGGAGAACCTGCAGCTTGTGCGGCAGCGGAACCCACAGGAACTGGGAGTCTTCGCCCCAACGCCTGACCTGGTGGATGTGGAGAAAATCAAGGTCAAATTCATGATGATGCAGAAGATGTATTCGCCCGAGAAGAAGGTGATGCTGCTGCTGCGGGTGTGCAAGCTCATCTACACGGTCATGGAGAACAACTCAGGTAAGGCCGCCTCCACCAGGCCTGTGCCACCGTGGGAGTCCACACCCATCCCTACTTCACCCAGCACCTCCCAAGACCATGAGTGTCTCTCTGGTGTCTGTGAATGAGACACACGCATAGATGCTATACCAGCTAAAGATTCAGTGCAGGGTATAGGTTGGGATACCACCTCCAGCTCCGTATTTGAAGCCTTGCCCTGCCTGAGGGCTCATTAACTGAGGGACTCTTTGGCTGCCGTCCAGACCCTCTATGCTGAGCCTTTTGAATTTTAGTTAGGCAGGGCCCACTCCTGGACACAGTGGGGTTAACTGGGATCACTCACACCCAGCCCTGGGGCAGTGGGAATTTTAGCAACAATCACTACTGTATTCTGGGCAGGGAAGCTTGACGCAGTGTCTCTAGGGCCCACCGGAGACTTAAAGAGTTGAAAGTGACCCTGTGATCACTTAGTGCCGTTTCCTATAAATGCAGAAGTCTCATCCATGCCTGGGTATGGACCGAGCACTGCACTGTTGAGATGGCTGCAATCTGTGGTTAAGCTGCCAGCTTAACTTGGGAGGGAAACTGCTCTATGGAGAAGCAACAGAGAACACACAGGCTCGCTTCACCCCGGCTGGCGCAGGCAGCAGTGCGTGTGCTGGTGCAGAGCGTGGGTGAGGACCTCAGCGTGCGAGCCCTGGGCGGCGCTGAGGACAGTACACGAGGCCTCTGAGTTGGCAAGCATATTCCACAGACAGGAAATAGGTTTTCTGTCATTTACAAAGTCACTTATAAAAAGCTCCAAAGTAATATCTGGACAGGACCACGTTCTTGTGCTGTATAGTGTCTCACCTCTGCGAGGCTAGCGTGCAGATGACGAGATGCTCTTAGGAGCAGGATGTCCTGCTTCCTGGGAGACCCACAGAACATCCCAGGTGCTCTTCACCTGGCACCCTCAGCTGTGGCTGTGTAACATGTCTCCCAGTAGTGACATCTGGGGAAACAAAGTCACCCCCATTTAAGAACCACCATTGTAAAGAATGTTAGAAATAAAGATTCAAAACCATTGCATCTCCTGCTGGTTACCAAAGTGTATATTCAGTGTGCTCTGAATTGGCACATTTAGAAAAATTAAAGTAGTTTATTCCTGATTCAGATTCCCTCCCCCACCTTCTTTTTCCGTGTTGGGAGATTCAACCCAGGGTGTTCATACAGAGCTAGCTATACCCCTATCCCTTTTTATTTAATTTATTCATTTAGTTAGTTAGTTTATGAGGCATGGTCTTGCTGAGTTGCTAAATTTCCCAGCTGGGCTTGAACCTTAGATCCTCCTGCCTCAGCCTCCGGGAGATATTTGCTCTTGTCATCACTGTGCACAGAAAGCAATAGGAAAGGCGACACAATGAATTAGCATAAATATTTTGTAAATGTGTTACACTATGACTCCCTAGTGGTGACACATGCCTGTAATCCCACCACTTTGGAGGCTGAGGCAAAGAAATCCTCAGGAGTTCAAGGCCAGCCTGAACTACTTAGAGAGAAACTGTCTCAAACAGAACAGCAGTCACAATTATAAAGGAAATAATTTTTTTCAAAAATGACTCACCGAAAGGTAAGCTGTTTAAAACTTCCCTGTTTTAGTGAATAATTTTTTTAAAGTAAATCCTAAAAGTGAGACGAGACCTTAGGGTGTTTTAACTGACTCATACGCTTTCATTCTGAAGCTGTAAGAGCCTCTCTCCCCCGGGTCACAGGTGGAGCTGGATTCCAAAAATACCCACCCGAATTTATAAAAAGCATATCTCCCCTGGAATGACTCCTTGCTGTCTAATAAGAGAAACAAGTAGGATGTGAAAGAAAGAAAAATGGATTAAAATACTCCCTCTCCCCCTTTCTTCCTCATCAAGGGAGGATGTACGGCGCCGACGACTTCCTGCCCGTCCTGACCTACGTCATTGCTCAGTGCGACATGCTGGAGCTGGACGTGGAGATCGAGTACATGATGGAGCTGCTCGACCCGTCGCTGCTGCACGGAGAAGGTGAGGCGTGTGCGGGGCGGAGCTGGCGCTGCGGGGGCTTGATTTGTTTTGTTCCGCTGCATTAAGGATTGAACCCCACGGCTTTCATTCTGAGCTACATCCTAAACCTGTTGGTTGGTTGGTTGGTTGGTTGGTTGGTTGGTTGGTTGGTTGGTTGATTGTTTTTGAGGCAGGATCTCCCTAAACCCAAACTGGACTGGAACTCCCTAAACCCAGCAGGATTCCCTAGGCCTGTGTCAGCAGACAGGGCCTTCATGTCCCCAACCAGTCCTGTGTTTTCCCTTCAGGGCCCCTTCAGCCTCTCAGATTGCTGGGATTAAAGGCAAAATTGAGATGAAATTTGTGGGACAAAAATTGACCATTTAATGTCCCTCCCATACCTAGTCCTGGGATTAAATCCCATGACTTTGCCACGTTGGGCAGGTGTGGAACCCCTGGACCACGCCTCACTAGGAATATTAACTGTCTTATAGTGACCAATTCAGTGGCATTTTGTAATCCACAGTGTTACGCAGCCACCACTCCTTGGGGTACAAGACATTTTTCACACCACAGAGTAAACTCTGATTTGATTTTTTTTTTTTTAAGTATGTGTTGACTTTTTCTGATTAAAACCTACCACATACTCACCATAGGAAGTTCAAGATTCACAAAGTCTAAATGCAGCCCCCGACATAATGCATATCTCATGGAGACTGGCAAATAATTTAAAAGACATTTTCTTTTTCCGACAGGAAGTTACAAACTTTTTATTAGAGAATAGTTCCGTTACCAGAAAAATAACTTGCTGTTGTGTCACTGAAATGAATGATGTAGCCCTGGTTTGTTTGTTTGTTTTACCTTTTATTTATTTATTTTTTCTGTATTTAGGACAGGGTCTCACTACATAGATGGGACTCTAGTGACCCCCCTGTTTTCAGCCTCCCACGTGCTGGGATTATAGGCGCGCTGCACCACCCAGTCTCAGTGCACCACTGGGGCGGGGCCGGCACGGCAGGCCTGGGGATCGAACCCCAGCCACCCCACTCTGCCTAAGCAGGTGCTTTAGTCCGCTGAGCTATCAGGCCAGCCCAATTTTTAATCTTTTTTTTAAAGTTTTCTTTAAAGATTAAAAAAAAAAATCATTGTCATTTCAGTTTAAAAGTAGTATCTGTTCATGAATAAGCCAAAGACACAGTGAAGTTAAGTCTGGGTGGTTTGTTTTAAGGTCCCTGGAGAGTTCAGGTTTCTCTGTGTCGCCCAACTCTGCACATCTTTTTTAGGTGGAGAAGGTGAGAGGGGGTCTTGCTGTGTAGCTCAGGCTAGCTTCAGTTCACTATATAGTCCAGGCTGACCTCAAACTCATGGTGATCCTCCCCGCCTCAGCCTCCCAAATGCTGGGATTACAGTGTGAGCCACTGTGTCAATAGCTGGGTGTCTTATCATGGGAAACACCTGGGGTGTTTGTCACCATAGCTCAAAGCCTGGAAGCGACCATAGCTGGGATCACCCAGAGCTTGTGCAGTTAAGGGAGGTGCATGGCAAACCCTGCCAGTCCTTTTTCATAAACCCCAGGGTGCGGTGTGGTTTGCTCCAAGGAGTGCAGCCTGAGTACAAAGGTCCACCTGCAGCAGGATTCCCTAGGCCTGTGTCAGCAGATCCGGCCTTCATGTCCCTAGCCAGGCCTGTGTTTTCCCTTTAGGGCCCAGTCACACCCTTCCTGTCTGCTATGGGCAGCACCCTTACCCTGTGCCACCCCGACAGGCGGCTGCCAGCCCTGTCACCCTTGTGTCCTCACAGCCAGCTGCATCCCCAAGTTGGGAGTTTCATGGTAGACCTAGCCATTACCCAGGCGCCCTGGGCCCCTCCTGGTGGTAGGAAAGGCAGGGGTGTGACTGGTCCGAATGGCCCAGCGGCAGCATGGGCTGTCTCCACGCCAGACTGTCCTCTTTCTACTGTGTTATTATCACAATCCAGGGTTTGGGTTTTGTTTTCTTGGCTTCCATCATGTTTAATTCTAGCAGAAAGGATGACGGGTACATGGGGCAGCAGGAAAGCGGTTGCCAGACCAGCTTAGAAAGTCACGGTGCTGCTGCCGAGGATGCGGACTCAGGACAAACACAAGCTCATATGCTGCATTCTCAGCCTGGAAATAGCCACTTACTGTCCCTGCTTTTCATTATTCCAGAACCATGCAGTGCTTTGGTTTATAGTTGGTGGCAGAGGGGCACGTGGCTGTCCTTACCCCCAGGCATCCCCCCTTTGTGCCCAAAGTGGGCAGTGTCCCCTACCCCCTTTGCAGAGTCTGGAGGTTTCTCCCACTCCACAGGAGTGAGGGTGGCCCGCGCTGATGGCTGAGGTTACAGACCAGAGGTGCTTAGCATTGCACTGCAGCGCCAGGGATGGGAGTAAGGGGCTCAGGACACCCTGCAGTGGCCCCTTCCTCGGCTGTTTGACTCATGGGCTGCTGCCAGGTCTTTTCTGCTGCCCTAGCAGGTATTCTTTTCCGTGGAGCCTGCGTCATAGGAGAGGAGCACGCAGTCCTAGGGTAGGTTCCAGTTTCACTGAAATGGAAAACCTGCCCCTAATTGCAGCCACGTGTTTCCCAGTGTGGTCCATTTTGTGCTGCCAGCAATTTTTAGTTTTCTGCTTAGTTTCCTGAACACATCCAAGACTCACATCTAAAGTCCCAAGGAACCCCCTGTACCCCTGTGGGCTCAGAGCCACCCCCAGGCTGTGACTGAGACCCTGACACCTCCTCAAGACTCTTCAGACCACAGAAGTCCCTGTCCCAACATTTCCATGTAGCAGCTACATTCTGTGATTCTGTGTCAGACTCTACTGCATTCTGATTTGTCTGTGGGGCAAATATTTAGTAAAGATCAGCCACTCCCAACCCGTGATTGGGCCCTGGGAAGCTGCCATCAGGAACCCACAGCAGCAGGAGGAGCAGGAGAACTCTGAGCAGAAAGCTCAGCAGGGTGGGGTGTCAATGTGCATGCTGAAAGCCCTGGGTTCCTCCCTACCACAAACCAAAGATGCCCCCTATGAGCTATGTGTATGGCAACCATAGGGCTCCCTGGTGGCCCAGGTTACACTGCAGGAAAGGACGGTCCCTGCGGCTCCATCAGCGACCTGCAGGCAGCAAGTGCTTCTCTCCCACAACCATTGTCTGGCAGTCTCAGAGTGCTGCTCATGAATGGTCCAAAGGCACGGCCATTTCTTTCTGCATGATGAGCAGGTCTACATGGTCTCCCAGAAGCAGCTAAATACTTCGGCTGGGCAAGTGACACTGTAGAATGCTCTTAACCGCAGTGAACCTCTTGCCCTTTAGGACTAGATTGCCTGTGTCTGCTTTCTTGAATAGATGTATAAGTTTTTGGAGAGCAGGAACTCAGATTCTGTTTCTTATGAGCCCATCCTTTGTTGTGCCTGGCCTGGGCTTGTGACAGAAATTTCATGGACTTCGAAGGCCTTATCAAGGAGCGAGCAAGGCGCCTCCTAGTGGCTGTCTAACACAATGTTCACATTCTCTTTGGTCATCTAGCTATGTTTTAGGATGAAACTGTGAACAGTACCTGTGCTTCTGACGGTATTGTAAGTTTGTCAGCATGCCCCAAGAACATTAGAAAGTGTTCCTAAATGGACTATCGAAGGGACAGTGCAAAAAGTATATTATTTATTTAAGATTCAGGAAATATGAACTCCTAGAAACACTCTTACAGCCACTGGCTGGAACGGCTCACTACCCTGACTTCCCCCCGCCTCAACAGGCCTCAGACCCTGGATCTTGCTGGAAATCCATTTTCCCAGTTCCACTTTAATGATCTAGGTGTTCCCACTAGAAGGAAATGCCACCGGAAGTGGTCATTCGTGTTTATAATCCCAGCACTCAGAGGCTGAGGCAGGAGCGTTGCAGCAAGTTTGAGGCCAACCTGAGCTATACAGAGAGCCCCTGCCCTGTCTCAAAAGAAAAACAAAACAAAAGGAAAAAAAAAAAAGATTGTCCGTTGCCTGACCTACCAGAATCTGGGGACCCATACAGCTCTGTGGGATAGACACACGCACGAGTGGGGATTGGATGGGCCTTGTGTCACTAGGTGGGTCCTCTGTGTCTCATGAAGAAGGGCATGGGGGAGGAGGGAAAGTTACAGCCAGCTGTGCACAACCGCAACTCAACTGGTCAAGGGATGTCACTGTGAGAAAAATAAATTCCATGTGTACTGAATGTGTGCAAACCTTTTCCCTATTCTTGCTTCTTAAACAATACAGGTAACATGATTTTCCTGGCATTCATGTTATTGTAGGTATTATATCTCCAGAAGGTTTAAAATATGCAGGACGAGGCTGGGCATAGGGCGCAGTGGTGGAGCACTTGTCTAGCGTGGGCCATGAGAAGGAAGGATGGGAGAAAGGGAAGAAAGGAGGGAAAAGAGAGGAAGAAAAGAAAGGAGGGAGGGAAGGAAGGAAGAAGAAAGGGACAGAGGGAGGGAAAAGCACACGCAGGAGGATATGCGTATGTTATAGGAAACATTACATCATTTGCATGTAGTAGATTTGGAATCTGAAGTGGGTATTCTGGTACCAATTGTACAAGGGACAACTGTACACAAGTGACTTTCACAACAGAGCACTGTCACTGTCCTCCCCAGAGTCCAGGACCCTGAGAACTCTCTTGTCCTCCCTTTCCAGGAGGCTACTACCTGACCAGCGCCTATGGAGCCCTGTCCCTCATAAAGAACTTCCAGGAGGAGCAGGCAGCGCGGTTGCTCAGCTCAGAGACAAGGGACACACTCAGGCAGTGGCACAAGCGGAGGACTGCCAACCGGACCATCCCTTCCGTGGACGACTTCCAGGTGCGCTCCACATGCCCCCATCCTCTGGCACCTCCTGCTGGAAGCCGGGTCCACTCACAGAATCATGGGGAGCAGGGGTATTTTAGGCCACACTCTGACCATGTTGTTTCACTTCCGTTTCCTTAACAGTACTGACCAATGCTTCTTGGCTTATGGCAGGGCTCTGGCCCCACGTGTAGTGGGAAATAGCCTCACGCCTGGCTCAACAGAAAGGCCCCTGCCAAGGGATCGCTGTATCCCCAAAACTGGGGACTAAGGTCCTCAACTGCATCTAGGATCAGGGTGGCAAAGGACAGAGACAGAGACAAAAGAGCCCTGTCATGCTTCCAAGTCATGTAAAAGACACTGAGGGTGTAACTCAGTGGTAGAGCACAAGCTAGGACCAATTCCCAGCACCCAAATAATGGTGGCAATCATAACTCAAAATTTGAAGTGCACTTTCCAATGAAGACCAGTCACATTGACACCATGATAAAGTTGATCATGGTGATGTCAAACCATCAAGAATCTGTGACCACTTGTATGTTTATGTAAGTTTGGCCCAAATTTTGCTACCCTTTAGACAACAAAGTCAAGTTAAGGCAGATAAACTTTGGTCACCTGGATGCAGAGCCCCTGAGCAAACAAGAAGTCAAGACAGGAGGTGAGCAGAGGTGCAGAGACCAGGGCACTCACTTCTTGCTCCAGGCACTGTGGTGGGCACCAGCCCCGCTCATGCCTAAGGCTGTTGTTCTTGTCACTGTCAGCTTCACGGCCCACAGGGCTGGTGCCTGGGGTGTGGGTCTCACCATGTTTGTTTTGGGGGAGCAGAGACTGGCTTGGGCTGCAGAAACCCTGGAGACACAACAACCCCTGCCTCACTCATTGCCTGTGAAGTTGGGAAGAAGCTACACATGTCTGACCAGTATTTTGAGCATTTCAGATGGAACTAGGAAGCCAGGCTCTGGCCCTGTGCAATGCAATTCCAGGCAGGTGGGTGGAGAAACAGCCCAGATCTGCCCGCTCCTCCATGCTTTCTTCCTCCCTGCCTGCCTGCTTTCCTTTCTTGTCTTCCTTTCTTCCTTACTCTTTTTCTCTCTTAATCCTCTTAATCCACTTTGGATTCAAGATCAGCCCATCATGAAAGGCAAGATCAGCATCTTCTTCCCTAAGACTGTAGGACTCCCAGCAGTCCCTTCCAGACACATAAGTCTAGGACAAGTTGAGAACTCGTGCTGGGGCCCCATGCCCACCCAGGTTTGCTGCATCCTGTGTGCAGTGGTACGCAGACCCTGCCAGCTGTGATGTGGGCCTTGCAAGGAGGGCTGCCAAGGTCTCTAAGACCCTCTGTCACCATCTCCCCGGCGCCCCGACATCACCCACCGGCCCTTCTGCAGCTCCCCTCTTCCCACCAGCCTGCTCACTTAGAAAACGAACCACCAGGAACACTCTTTACCCTTGAGGCGAAGGCCAGGGAGTATGGAATCTGCCCCGTGCTAGCTGAGCGGTCTTGGGCAGGTTACTTAGCCACTCTACCTCAGTTTCCTCATTGGTCAAGTGGGATCTTATAGACTTGTCTCAGAACTCTCTTCAGAGGTGTTGCAACCACATGTTGGGGTTGACTGGGGAAGCTGGGGTATGCTTTGGTGACACATGGTTACGCCCTGAGACATATGCTCAGGTCCGTGTGTCCCGCCTGCTCACCTCTACTGAGTCACCTGGCTAGAGGCGCCCTCCTCAGACACAGACAGGAAAGCCGTCTCAGCTGCTCTTCCCAGAGCCATCCCCGTATTATCCAGAACCCCTCAGATAGCCAGAAGGCTGAGGCAGAAAGCTGCCCTCCCTCTCTTCCTCCCTTTTCAGCAGGGAATCCGGATCTAGGAAAAAAAAAAAAAATGTCTTTGCTTCCTACATTTAGCTACAAAGTCTCGATTTTCTCTGGGAACCCCACCCCTGGCCTGCCCCTGCAAAGAAGTGGTGAACAAGCACAGTTCTCTGGGCCCATAAACCCCAGGGAGTCTGGGCTGTGTTTAGGATCCTTGCAGCCCCCGCAGGCTCATGGGATTTGTGGTGTTGCACACCCAGCACTGTCCCCACACCAAGCCCACAGTCGCATCCTCTACTTCCTACAGTGCCACTTGGCACATGATCGCCCCATCTGTAGTCCCTGGCGGAATCCACATCCTCTCCTCTCCCTCTGCTGTTTTCCTTGGGGAACCTAGGTCAGGGTGAGCCCTGCAAAGTCAGAGAGTGTCGGATGTCAGCAGTTTCTGGGGGCTCAGACTGCCATGGTGCCCAGGAAGGTGACAGCACCGATCTCTGAGTCTGGAAAGTTGAAGTCTGCCGATCCTGGCTTGGACTCTGCTGCAGTTTGGCTTCTTTTTCCAGCTGGAAATAATCCCAGGTCTGGATGTGGTTCTGCTCTGACGCAGGGCTTACTGAGGGCGCTGGAACGGGACCCAGGGCAGGACCGCCTGCTGCTTCTCTGCCTGCATGGACCTCAGCATGGCAGCTCGGTCCCCATAGCTGTCTCCACCCCATCCTAATTCAGATCAGCCTCTCTTCTGTACCCAAGCTTTGTGGGCTGATGTCAGACAGACAAGTCTGACCTTGCACTTGTCGCTCACCCGTGAGTTACTGCTGTCCGGTTTCCCCCTCTGACTCTCCCCAACATCTCTGTTTGCGCTTGCAGAATTACCTCCGGGTGGCCTTCCAGGAGGTGGGCAGCGGCTGCACGGGCAAGACACTGCTGGTGCGGCCCTACGTCACCACTGAGGACGTGTGCCAGCTCTGCGCTGAGAAGTTCAAGGTGGGCGACCCCGAGGAGTACAGCCTCTTCCTCTTTGTGGACGAAACATGGCAGCAACTGGCAGAGGACACATACCCTCAAAAAATCAAGGCTGAGTTGCACAGCCGACCACAACCCCATGTCTTCCACTTCGTCTACAAGCGCATCAAGAGCGATCCTTATGGTGTCATCTTCCAAAACGGGGACAAAGACCTCAGCCCTTCATAGAGGGCACATGGAACTTTGGGGTGATGCACCCCACAGGTTGCTGGGAGCCCAGGCTGGCTGCCTTGCCATGGGCTGGGGCTTGGATGGCAGTCACCTTCTCCAGAACCTCTTGGATTGGGGACTAAGCCATCCCCAGGCTGACTAGGCCAAGAGCAGCGTTCAGTGTGTTACCCAGGAAACAACCCAGCAGGTTCTCTTTGGTAATGGAGAATCGAATTTGATGGTTCGAGTGTCCTGAGGTGGCCATTCAGGGCTGGCTGACATGCATGGGCATGTGCTGGGTGACACGTAAGGTACACACTCTCCTGCGTTCCTTAGCAGGTGTTTGACAAGACTGTCCAGTGCAGTGCGTCAGGTACTCCTCAGGTCTGTAAGCGGCTCCATCCTTCCTTACTTTTCTCCTTTTTTCTTTTTCTTTTTTTTTTTTTTTTATAAAGAACCTTTGTGTTTTTATATATTTCATAGAAATTTTTATAGCAGTTGCAGGTAAACTGTCAGGATGGGTTTTTAAAATATTTTTGTAACTTTAAAATATTCTATAATTATGCATGTGATTTTAACATTTAATATTCAAAAAGAAATCTCTTGCTGGATTTGAGAGTATTGCGTTTTAAAAGTCTCTCCTCTGTAACTGGGCGTTCAGGCAACTTTTGAAGGAGAGACAGCTGGATTTCTTAAAGCAATGTAATTCCTGACACTGGCCATAGAATGCCTTTGGAAATAGATGTACTGTCATCTTGGTCACATGTAGTGGTGTTGTGCTTGCTGTTTTGTGTTGTGTTTTGTTTCAAACAAGTAATGCTGAAAATACAGAGAGAAATGAATGTAGAGAGAGGCCGAGAGAGAAATATAGAGTCTGACAAAAGGCGGAGGAATGTAGTCTACCGGCTCAGGCTCCTTGAAGGCCGTAGAGAAAAGAGGCAGAAGGGATCTTAAACTATGCTCCGAATACTGTAGATATGCAATGAGATGTGGTGAAAAATCTATTCCATATGTTTTCCCCTCTTAGGAAAGCAATTTTGAAAGCCCCACAAAGGAAGGAGAAAAAAAAAAAAGGAACACTTTTCCCCCCATTTTCAATAAATCAAAACTAACAGCATGTAGTTATTTTGGGCAGAAACCAAGTAGTACAAATCGTGGCTCTTGCTGCCTTCGGTAAGGTGCTTCTGGGAAGGACTGGGACACTCCCCAGAAAACCCATCTGCCTTAGAATGCGGAGCCGAGGGTGTGGCTCAGCCAGTTCCAACCTCAGCCTTGCCCCACCCCCCAAAAAAAGAAAACAGTATGGTGAAATTAGATCTATGTTTTATAAAAACCAGGCGTACAGACTAGAGGGTCATGTATCAATGTATCCCAGGTAGAGACAGCGACACATTCCTGTAGCTGTGCGGGCCACATCATCCTCCAGCTTGATGGGGTTTGGACCTTGTGCTTTTGCCAGTCCTGGGTTCTGTTGAGCAAGAACCTTCAGTGCATTCTGTGTTGTACTTCCTTTTGTAAATGATTTTTTTTTAAATGGCAATTTGCACATAATACCTTGTAATACTGTACAGTAATCCTGTGTTAAAATAATGTTTGCAATGTTCTTTGGTTGTCTCCTTGATTTCTTTTCCCTGCTTTGAGGGCCGGTGCCATCAGGAGCCCCTTGACATCATGGAAGCTTATGGCTCGGTGAAGGAAACTGTAGCTGAAGCCAGCTGAAGACATAATCTGGGGCAAGGACATGGAATGAGACTCGCTGGGTTCAGAAAGGGCTTCAGGGTCATCAGGCACAGTGCTTGCCTTAATGGGATGGAGGGAAAATTATAGTTAACGTGGACACAGTCAGCCAGGGCCTGCAGACAGACAGTTCCTGACCTCAGGCAACCTCAGTGTCCTGGCTCAGAACACAGCGTGATTGCAAAATCCACCAGGCTCAGGCTTGATCTATCCCCTGCTTGGAGCCCTGCCTGGCTCTGCTAGTAAGTGTTCAATAAATACTATTCGCTGAAGGAAGGAAAACAAGAGGCAGCAGGATGTCCAAGCCATCTGCCCACAGCTGCTTACAGGTTTGGGGGGGGTGGGGAGATGCACACAGCTCCTGACGTTTGCAAGATATTTGCCAGATCTAGCCCCAAATGCAGACCATCCCATGCCCTGTCTGGGGAAGCAGGCCTGAACCTGAGCTCCAGGCAGCCTGCAGCAAGAGGCAAACCAGATCAGACAGCAAGGGGAAGCAGCGCAAGACGGCCCTGTCTGTTCCTGGCCTGGACTCCCAGGCCACATTTCAACACAATCTCTGCTCTATCTTCGTGGTTTCCCCGAGCAAGCATTTCTCACTTCTTGAATTGCCAGGAAGCGGGCTGTGGTGGAGTTGGAAAGCCATGAGAGGAAGGTAAAAATATATGTGCTGGGGGCGACAGAGAGAGCACCTTTCCAAGCCTAAAAATAATATTTTCAAAGTCAGATCTTAGCCAGAGAAAGGGATGTTGTTATTGGATGTTGGATATGATGCCAAATATCCCCCCCTTAGGAATGCAGGATAGAAACAGAAACTGTTAAAGTCATTTGTTTCATGTGGAGGTTACAAACTTTAGATCTACAAGAAAACACAAAAGAGGAAGCCAGGCTTGAATAAGAATGTGTCTCCATTCACTAATGTGGTTCAACCCCCAGCATGAGCGTGCACACAAGGGCGCACACGTGCACACACACACTCACAATTACAAACACACACATGCACAAAGAGCCCTGACCTTCATCTGTTTGGGTTGGTTGAAACAGGGTCTCACTCTGAAGGCCAGGGTGACCTCGAACCCACTATGTAACCCAGGCTGGCCTGGAGACCATACTCCTGCCTCAGCCTCCCCAGTGCTGGAAGTACAAGTGTGCTGTGCACCACCCTGCAGGGCTGGCCTTCATCTTCTACATAAGAGACCTAAAATGATGGGTGACACTAATACAACAATATCTGGGTATTATAACTATCCGCCACATCTGGAAGTAAAACCTTGAATACAATCACTTGGCAGGCCATTTTCAAAGAGGGGAATTTGAGACCAAACGTGATGTTTGCCATTTAGTGAAATTGGAGGGAAAACATTAATAGAACACCCCAGAATCAGCAGCCACTGATAGAGGAAGGGAAACAGTGGTGTCTGTCTCAGGAAACAGGTTCTTTTTTTTTCAAAACTCAACGTGAAAGGATCAGCAGCAGCTGACACCAACTTTTGCACACGGGCGCTGGCTTTACTAGAAGCTCAGAAAAGCTGTTCTCAGGAGGTTGGGCTCATCCTCACCAAGTGGAACCAAACCTGTCAGGAGTCTCCTGGGCTCAGGCTGCAGTGTAGAGCCCTGAGCTGGGCAGCCCCTCACCTTGATTCTAGTAGTTGTGCCCATTCCAAGGGCACCTGCAGGAGTTCTGAGCGCTGGAGATGCAGACACAAGAACAGCAAGTAAGGTGCCAGCAAGAGAGTTCAGCAGACTAAAGCGTGTGCTTAGGCAAACTTAGACAAGTGCAGGGACCACAGTTCAATCCCCAGCACCATATGCTGGGCCAACCACAGTCCAGGCATAGTGGTGCGTGCCTGTAATCCCAGTGCTGGGGAGGCTCAAAACAGGAGGATTAGTATGAGTCTGAGGTGCATAGTGAGAACCTGTAACAACAAAATACATTTTAAAAAAAAAGCAAGTAAAATGAGAGTGTTTCTCTTGACTCACACATTAGGAACCTGTGCCCAGGCTGTGTTTCTCACTGGTGAGCAATGGCACGGGGCAGGGAGCCTGAGACCCCAGGATGGTGAGATCCAGATGGCCCATACTCTGTCACCAGCCCTCAGGACCAGAGGATGAATCACTCCACACACAAGTGTTTTGGGGGGAGGCTTCTCTCTCCCCTTCTTGAGCCCTCACTGTGACTTGTAGCGTAGGTCTGCCCTGGCACCAGGTTTGCAGTTGCTTTGATCTCCTTCCAGGGTTCCTCCTCAGAACACAAGCTCTGGCTGGCCTGGTCCATTTTACAACTTGCTTCTCTGGCTCTAGGCAGAGACCCGTGCGCCCTGCCCATCTCCAGCACTTGGTGTTCACCCCTGCTCCTAACATGGGCAGTTCTCAGCATCTTTGTGTTCTCAGTGCTGGAGACCTCAGACACCCTAAGAGAGCGCTCAATGCCCGATCTACACCCCCAGGCCTGGTGGCATCCTGCAGTCAGCCAGAGGCTTCTGAACTGGAGCTGGGGTTACATGGACATCAGAAGGTCTTCCAAGGGGAGTCAGTGCCCAGGAGCTTGCTGGGGGAGGAGGCCTGAGAGCCACCAGTGCAGCTCGAAACACGGGGCTTTGAAACACGGGGCTTAAGACAACGCACACCTGGGAGACACCTAGTCCAGAGCCACTGACGCCAAGCCCTGTGCATGCCCCTGGCCTGATTTTTTTCCTTCCTTCTTTCTTTCCTTTTTTTTCCTGTTCTTCTTTTTTCTTTTTCTTTATTTTTGTGGTACTGGGGTTGAGCCCAGAGCCTGGCACACTCGCACATGCCAGCCAAGTGCTCTACCATGGCACCCTTCCCCCAGGCCTTTTTTATTTTGAGGCGGGAACTCACTAAGTTGCCCAGACTGGAACATGCAGTCCTTTTGCCTCAGCCGTCTTCTGAGTAGCTGAGACTCCACAGTGCGTGGTTTGCATTCTGGGATTGACGGGGCTGAAGAAAGGCACAGAGCAGGCGCTTCTAGCTCGGTGCTACCTGGTACGAGCATGAAACCAGCCACAGGGCACTTTTGAGTTTCCTAGTGCCCCGTGTGAGTAAGCAAAGGGAAATGGCCAACCAGTGGCAGCAATAGATACGATGTGAGCCACGATATTTCAAATATTGCTCAACACTTTATCAGCAATATAAAGAAGTCATTTACATTTTTTTCTATTGTCTCGAAAACCTTACATTTTGTGCTTAGAGCACACCTTACTTCCCACTGGCTGTTACCTCAGATGCTCCCAGCCCCGATGGCGAGCAGCTGCCACCCTGGATAGTGCAGATCTAGCACATGAACTGGTGATGACGGTAAACGTTAAAAAGAAAACTGTACATACATAGGGGAAAGGGGCAACTGAGACATGGTGAGTGTTTTGGGGTTTTTTTTTCAATTACTTAATTGGTATAGGGTCTCACGACACAGTTCTGACTCCTTGTGATCCTCATGTCTCAGCCTCCCCAGTGCTGGAATTAAATGCATGCACCACCACACCCAGTTGTGGTAGCCAGCACAGTGCACCTGGGGTTCCAGGGCCAGCATGGCGTGCAGTACTGGGGTTCAAAGCCAGGTCCTTGCACTTGCCAGGCAGGTGCTTAGACCACAGAGCTATCTCCCCAGCCCAAGACATGGTGAATATTTAAGTAAAAATTCATTACAGTAGAAGATCCATTGCCGGCAATCCCTCTCAAAACACTTGTCTTTACTTCAAATGCTTAACCTGTCCTTTTAGCCACTTCCTGCATCCCTTCTGCAGGTCCTCTTTGGTGGTTGCCTCTATAAGATTGTGATCACAATCCAGGGGAAAGGCAGGCATGTAACAATAACGCGGTGTCCTCACGCACCTTAGTCGCTGGATCTGACACTGACTTCGGGCTCTTCCCAGCAGTCAAAATGACCATGGGAGGTCAATGTTTCAAATCCAGGTCAGAACACCATATTGCTAGCTGAGTATGACCACATTTCCTGCCTTAAACAATCTGTGGATCCTGGAGAGCCCCCCTGGTGCATATGTCAAAGGCCTGGACCCCAGGGTGCCGCTGATGGGAAGTGGGTTGCCTGGTGGGAGGCCCCAGGTCAAGGAGGTGTCTTGGAAGAGGATCTGGGGCCCTGGTCCCTTCCTTGATCTCATTGCTCCTCAGCTGGGACAAGAGTGGTTTCACTCAGTCACACAGTCCCTGCCTTTGCCATCTGGGACCCAGCCAGAGGCCTGAGGGCAAGGAGCCCAGAGGATGGTCCTGGAGGGACCTCTAAAAAACCATGGGCCACTGTTAGCCTCTGCCCTTATAAGTCTCAGATACATACAGAGGAGGGAAGGCTGGCTGACACGGCGCACTGAGCTGCAGTAGGACCAGCGTGACTTCACCTACATCAAGTACTTGAGGCAGCATGCGGCACCACAAGTGCCCTTCCTTGCTGGAGACAATGATCCCAGATAATCCACTGCTCTGACATTTCCCTCTGTGGCTCACTGCTGCTTGCCTTCTGTGCTAATTCCTGCTGCCAAGGCTCCTGCGGAATAGAGGAAAGATAATACCACGCATCGAAGTTTAAAAAGCGTACTGGGGTGGGACAGAGGGAAAAATCAAGGCAACACTGTTCATTAGCTTTGCTGTTGCCGTTGACAGTGCTGAGGGTGCTGGGACTCTACTGGCTTTTCCAGGGGCCGTGAGCAGAGCCTCCCAGGAGCCCGCGCCAGCAGCTTGTGGGCCAAGCTGTGCTTAGGGAGGTGGCTGTGGGATGTGGGATGGGACATTGCTGATCTTTGTTACCATCTCAGAGACCAGCCTGCTTCATTTTGCAGGCATTTCACTCCTGGGAGATCTATAAATTATAAGACCATTTTACTCATCAAGTTTGCAA